CCCACAAAAAAACAACAACCCAAACCAACAACAACAAACAAAACAATACAAAGCAAAATAACATCACGCAATAACCTCCCCCCTTTCTAAAAAAATAATAAAATCCAAGGCTTGTTGATTTGCTGTCAATGCTGGGAGAGGTGGAAGATACAAGTGATAATGGAGTATTCAGTTACGTTTAAAGTGGTCAAGGTTACGAAATATCAGAAAGTATCATTTCATAGAAGTTTTTGCTCGTCTCCCACCACGCTTGTAGGGATCATGGAATTACATTTTGTAATTCTGACTTCAACAAAATCCGGGTATATAATTTATGGTCACAGAACTGTGCCCCCCCCCTTCCACACACACACACACACACACAAGGGGGACCTCTTTGCTTGAACCACAGGCTATTGGCCCCCCTTTTTTGGTGTATCTATCCATTTTAGGGTGTACTGGTAATTATTTCTAAGTCTTGCAACACAAAAGTGCTTTCAAATGCCGTAATTATGCCTAGATTGTATACCATGGGGATGTTTACATTTCATACTAATGTGTCCTCTATGATGCCCTGGGTATCAATAACTATATTATTTTATTGTATACTGTATTATACTCCACTGAAAAGACAGAGGCTCTTTCAAAAGCCATGAAAATATTTTGTTAAGTTACTGACCGTGACATTGGCAAATATAGGCGTATTCATATAAAACATATTAATGAGAATGATAAGTTCTAGGTTACCTATACGAATGATGAGCTATCCAGCAGCATACTATTTTTAAAACTGGAACGATTCGTACTTGTCATTGTTAGCATTTGTGCACAGTCTTTTGTGAGGTAATGGATAGGCTCGTGGCAGTTTCAAGCAAAAACTCAAGCTCGATTCCTATGTAGAGAGGTTAATCCACCAAGTATTTATGTCTTTCGACTGGAACTCAGCCCTGGTTGGCACAGGCAGGCACTAATACAGACAAAAGTGAAATTTTCAAAAGGTCAAAGAGAAAGAAACACATGAGATGAAATAACCCACACACTTAAAAGAACATTGAATGAAGGCTGACTGGCCTGATTAATTAGTAAAACACACTAGGACATCATAAGAATCCATCCGACAGATCTTTGGAAGGGATCTATAAGATAGAAAAATCTGATGATATATCTGAAATATCAGTAAAACAAGTCTCACAAATTCGAGAATAAATTGAAAAATCGTTCAAAAAGACCTAACAGATCTGAAAATAGATTTGGAAGAGAGATAAAATATTTTAAGTGGATCCGAGAGAGGTGGTATTGGTTCAAAGGCTTGTTGCAACAGAGCCAACAAATCATTAGAATAGATTCAAGAGGGAATATGAATAGATGCAATAGACAAATAGAATAAATTCAAAAGACATCATGAATATGTGCTATAGAATTTAGAACAGATTTAGACAACAATGGGAATAAATATTATAGACAGCATAGTTTAAAAAGATGTAGTAAGAATAGAAGCAATAAACATTTAGAATAGATCCCAATGATACCATGAATAGATGCAATAGACAGTTAGAAGAGATTCAAAGTTAGCAAAAGGTAATATGAATAAATGCAATAGACAGTTGGCAAAAGGCAATATGAATGGATACCATAGCCAGGAACAGATTCCAAAGATCAATAGTTATATCCAAACAGACTGATAGCACAAGTCCTACAAATCGGTAGGTCGTTAGATCAGGAAAAAAGGTCAATAGGCATCCGAGAGCCTGGTTCGCAAAGGTATTGATTATCTCCCCTTGCAGCTCCGTACAGGGAAGCCGGTCAAAGACCTCTGTGATCCCAGCTGGGGAAGCCGTACACCTTATGAGCCCACCACCAGCGAACCTGAAGTACCACGGCCATCTTCCGGGCGTCTGCAGCGTTACGTGACAACTTATGTCGCTTTCACTTTGTCAGATGGGCGTTACTTTTCACTCAGGCATTTATTATACACAAATGCACGGACAGATAAACAGAGAGTTACTCACCCCTACATACTCACCCCCAGACATATCTATCTATCTATCTATCTATCTATCTATCTATCTATCTATCTATCTATCTATGTCTGTCTCTCCAAGCCGTGTGGGCGGAGAGCCTTGAAAACTCTCCCAAACAACCAAAGTTCATTGGGGATTTAAACTAAGGTCCTTCGAACCATAGTGCAACAAGGTACCCTAGTTGTGATGGGATAAGAGGTATTAGAAATAATAACGCAAGATTATTCTTTCGCTTTCAGCTGCAGGCACTGACAGTCGCTTCCAAACTTTTACTCAAATATTGCGTAACAAAATTTGCTTCCAAAAAGTCTTTTTTTATTCTTTGCCGTGGAGGTATAATAAAATACAGAACTGGCGTTTGTGTCCCCATAGCGTCATGGCGAAAACTACGGTTGGTCTTTTGGAGGAACCAGAAAAGCCAGTCTTATCTTTCAATCGATAAACATTACTTTGCTCTTACTTATGATTGTCTCTACCCCAGACCATGACACGGCTCCCTGCGTTGTGTTCCAATTGAATTATTGCTTATTGTTTATGCTTCTCTGATCGTAAAGGAGTCTGGCTCGGTGCATGGGCTTCACAATATTCTACTTAAAGGACAAATGGCATTTTTGAATCGACTCTTGGGGCTAGAACACTTAGGTTTGCAAAGCCCATGCATAAATTAAGGAAGCTGCAAGAGGCTGGGTCACTTGTGAAAAGACAATAGTGCTGAAAGCCTCAACAGAGAAACAAACAAATATACTTTAGACTGGATTCTTCAGGCAAAGACTCCTCTTCAACACGTTGGAAAAGTACTATGGGAAAATAGAGGTCCCATGCATGAGAATAAACGTATGTTTCCACGTGAGAACTTTTGAATATTGACTCGATCAATTGTAAATGATAGTAAATGTTTCACGCCCGTTTAGACTCAATATAAATCATTTAGGAGGTGGGCTGCTTCGACACTATTTATAATGGCTAACGGATGCTGAGAGAAATACAGCCTCCGAGAAGACAGAAGGAGACACTCAGATGACTAAACATATTCTTCAGGACCGCCCACAACTGGATACGGCACGACAAAAATACTTGCATCAACCCAGGGACATGCACCAGAAGCTGTGTGGGAGCCATCTCGACCTGGGAATCACTGCGGAGTTCATCAACATTTCAGCCCTCACCTTCTAATCTATCATGAAGAAGAAGAAGAAGAAGAAGAAGAAGAAGAAGAAGAAGAAGAAGAAGAAGAAGAAGAAGAACAAGAAGAACAAGAACAAGAAGAAGAAGAAGAACAAGAAGACTTAAATTTCCCACTTGCGACTCGAAGTCAGTAGCTTTCTCCACCCACCTGTTATTTGTATATAACCCTTTATAATATCGTGGAGAAATAAAAAAAAAAGAACTCAGAAGAATTGGTATACCTGCGCCAATATTCCTTTAGAACACAATTACAATAGAACTGAACTATATGTACTTTGGGCATATTAATTAAAAGCTATGATACACTCGTAATTATTATTCTGAAAGCAAAGGTAGACGGCACGCGAGGAAGGCGGAGACCTAACATAAGATGGGGACAAGACATAGAAACCTGGCATGGGACTAAAACAACGAAGGCAGGAAGAATGGCATGAGACAGAGTAGTTTATTGCAGACATGTCCGAGAAGAAAACTCGGGGGCTCTCGTGGCCAAAATTGTCTTCTTTCACCTCCTTTCCTGCTCTCTAGCAATATACTGTTGTCTGCTTTTCACCTGTATTTCTGCCACACCCCTGATCTTATAAAATGTACACTTAGCCTTCTGGGGCAAGGGCGAAAAATCTCGGAGGTACCGTGTGCAAGTTGAGCAAGTTAAAGATCCCTTGGTGGTAAAAAATCGATAAGAGTAGGCTTCAGCCGCCACCGGGGCAAAATTCAAAATTTCCTACCAACTGAAAATGTTTAAAGTGTCCCGCACGATCGTATGACCGTATGCAGTTGCAAGCGCTGTGAAACACCTACAACGCAGAAAAAGAAGAAAAAGCCACTTCTGGACAAGCTTTGAAGAAAAACAGTGAAGAAGCTGTAACCTCACACAAAAAGCAACAACAAACAAACAAACAAACAAACAAACAAACAAACAAACAAAGAAAACAAACAAACAAACAAATTAACATCCAACCAACCAACCAATAAGCAAACCCGGAACCGAGCAGGACCCACCTTCAACTTCTCCGGCGCTGAACTCCGCCGACACTGGCCTGCTCCCACTGCCGATGTTACGTATGATAGTTCGGGACTTTGTCTTCACGTCATCCAGGAGTGGCATGGCGGGGGTGATGTCACTGGCCGGGCTTCCGTCCGTGTCGGAGATACTGGTGCTGATGTAGGAGGCGTCTCTGGAAGACATACAAGAGAAAAGCAGGTGTTTTTTTTTACACAGTCTATTTATATGTCTGCTTATCTATCTATCTATCTATCTATCTATCTATCTATCTATCTATCTATCTATCTAT